ATTATGACGTTGTCACTCGTTCATCCACGCCGAGGTGTTGGCACACGTGTATGCCTACATGCGTACTACCATTCGTGTTTCCATGCAAACGTGATGTACTTTGTGTCTCTACGCAAACGTGGTGTCACACGTGTCTTCATGCAAAACGTGATGTCAAACGTGTCTTTAAACAGACGTTTATCAATATGATTATTTATCATATTTAGATGGATAAGGATAGAGAGATCGATAGATATACGTGGTGTTTTACTCGTGTCCATGCAAACGTGATGCCACGAGTGTGTACACACACACACACACACACACACACACACATACAAACATATATAGAGACGTGGTGTCACTCGTAGGCGTGTCCCTCCAAGAGGACTGGGAAGGGTGTGGGTTCTTTGTTTTGGTTTGAGGGTAGGCAAAGCAAAGGATGAAAGCTTTCAAGAAGCAACATCATGTCCAATCTTATTGTCAAGGCAAGGATTGTGGAAGCGGAACTTGCTGCCATCTGGGTATGCCATCTGGGTGCCCTGCGTGGCACAACTTGTGGGTCCAACAAAGAAAAGCTTGTTGGAAACAGGAAATAGACTGAATCATCCACAACAACAGCAGTAACAGCAACAGCAGCAGACAAACGGGAACTGGAACAGGAACAGGAACACGGGAAACGGGAAACGTCCTCCTAGGCAGCCGGCCATGCTACACCATTCGTGTTGCTCTGATTCACATTCACATTCATACATAGTGTAGCTGTAACTTCTTCTTGTGTCTCACCAGACCGGTCAGCTTGAGTGTGATGAGGCTTCACCCAAGGCCACCGTGCTGCATTTATTCCATCATGATCACTTCAATGCAAGCCTTTTATGTGTCTAACCATTACTGCGAATTCTGCGACCACCGTTACGATCATCCTGAAAAAACATCCCTGCACAAAGCAATACTGCTGCCACCGCTCCCTCCACGCCAGCTGTTGCGGGCCCAAGGAAGAGCACGGGATCCCTTGCTTGACATGTCAACGATGGTTCCCAAATCAACACTGTTACACCCAGCATCTTCAGTCACCGTCAGAGGGAAAACCTAGCACCTGTCAATCATTTCACAGGTGCCCGACCTGTTTTCAGCTTGTCCGCGTCTTGGAGACCCCCATGGCTCATCCCGAGTGCTCAGATGAAAGACGTCCCTGCTTAGTGTGTCGAGAACCCGTGACCCCAGACCATTGCTGCTACATGACACCCCTCCGTGAAGCCCGGAGGGGGAGGAGAAAAAGACGAAGAAGTCGACCACCACCGTCCCGCCGCCCGAGAAGGAGGAGCTCATTTATGTGATGGCACATAACGCGCGAGCGTATGATCTAAACTTGATCATGAAGGGCCTGTACCCACATCTGGTGAAAATCCCCACCATGATTCGAAATGGACAACAGATTTTACAGTTGACCCTGGGACGATTGTGTTTCGAAGACAATTTCATACCCTACCCACTGAAAGCATTTCCAATGACCTTTGGACTGAATGAACTGAAGAAAGGGTATTTTCCACACTTTTTCAATATCGAACCCAACCAGACCTACAGAGCTCCCTTTCCACCAGCTGTCATGTACGATCCGGGTGGCATGTCTCCCGTGAAACGCACTGCCTTCCTCCAGTGGCATACCAAGAAAGTTCAAGAAGGAGCCTTGTTTGACTTGCAAGAAGAACTCTTAGCCTATGGATGCGCTGACTTCAGACAGAACGCCATCAGGACGGTTCGCATTGATCCCTTTGTAGAGGTGATGACAGCCGCTGCTTTCACCATGAAATCCTTTGAAAACACGATCTGAAACCCGATACCATAGCCATTCTTCCACCTCAAGGCTACCAACCCAAGAGAAACTATTCCCAGGCCTGTAGCACTGGTTAAGTTATCTCATGGAGACCGACCCCGATCTGCACCTCCAGCACGCCAGGAATGGAGGTGAAAAAGAGTTCACTTGTTGAGAGGGCAAACATCGTTACAGTGTGGATGGCTACGATCCAGAGACAGGCACCATATACGAATTCCTGGGGTGTTTCTGGCATGGGTGTCAGAAATGTCACAAGACCGAACGTGGAGAACCTCATCCCGTCCTGGGTACGTCAATGGGAGCATGTTATACTGACACCCGCTACCGCCTGAGTCTCTTGAACCAACACCCTGAGGTGAAACGGGCGGTCACCCTATTGGAATGGGAGTTTTAAAAAATGCAACAGGAGGACTCAGCTTTGCACGCTTTCTTGCAAGACCCCACTGTGTCAACTTACCTGGTCCACTCAACCTTCGTGACGCCTTCTATGGAGGACACACCAATGCCACTTGATTATGCCACGATGCCCAAGAAGGTGAAACCATCAAGTATATTGATATCTGTTCATTTTTACCCTACATTTGCAAGACCGGAGCGTTTCCCATAGGACACCCAACTCTTCTCCATCAACAGGTTGTTTGAGCTGAAAGGACTTATCCAATGTGGTGTCCTACCCCAGAAACAACTCTACCATCCGCTACTGCCCTACAGATCGGGTGGCAAACTGATCTGTCCTTTGAGCCGCACGTGTGACGATACCCGGTCAGACTCACCCTGCGCTCACATGGACGAAGAGAGGTCTTGAGTGGGGACGTACACCATCACAGAACTCCATGAAGCCGTGAAGAAGTATGGCTACAAGGTGCTTCAGATCTTCGACGTTTGGCATTTCGACACCCGAGACCCAGCATGAAGGACTCTTTGACTCCTATATCGACCATCATTTCAAGGAGAAGCTCGAAGCCAGCGGATACCCCGAGGGATGTACCGATCCCGACGCTTACCTCCAGGAGATCTTTAACAAAGAAGGCATTCGGTTGGACAAGGACCGCATCGAGAAGAACCCAGGTCTTCGCACTATTGCCAAGCTCTTTCTTAATTCGCTCTGGGGCAAGTTCGGACAGCGGTTAGACTATAATCAGAATGTCTATATGAACGACCCTGCGCAGTACTTTGCCTTGTGGAGAGATGAACGAAATACTATCGAGGATGTCACTGTCGTCAACGAACACATGGTTGAAGTGACCTATACTCACAAGGAATATTCCAGACCCCTCATTCTCATTTCAATGTCGCCAAAGCTGCTTGGGTCACCGCACAAGCGCGTCTCAAGCTGTACGAGACCCTCGTCCTGGTTGGTCGCAGGGCCTTGTACTTTGACACGGACAGCGTCATTTATATTGATCAACCCCACGACACGAATCCAGAGCTGGCCCATTCGTTGGGTGAGTTTACAGATGGAAACACCATCAAGACATTTGTGTCAGGAGGCCCCCAAAACTATGGCTATGAGTTAATGAACCCCAGACCCGATGGAACGCGCACGACCTGCAAAGTGCGAGGGTTCACCTTGAATTACAGAAACCAACAACACCTAAACTTTGACACCATGAAAGGACTGATACTGGGACAACGGCCTGGGAAGGAGGGGGAGAAAATCAGCTTGGGTTACCCTCATCAGATCATTTGTAAAGGACCTCGGCACGGGAACGCTCTTGTGACCCAACCCACCTGAAAAGACTACGGCACCATTTACGACAAGTGATGCATCCTCTACGACGAAACCATAGCCTGTAGATAATCTTTATACTGTTTCATATTAAAATAAAAACATGTTCAAACTTTTAAGTGTTTTTTTCTTAGAACACTAAATGTATGTAAAAACTAGAACTGTAGATTATGTCTTAATATTCATAAATTTAGGTAAACAATCATACGTTATCGCTAAAATATATTCAATCACTTCTAATAAATAAATGATATGTGTTCAAGTATTCTTTTACTTCTGAGATCTTTTATTAGCTTTTCTAACTGGTGTTTGATATGTACGGATGTAGATGTATCAAATGCGAATCATTGCATATAGAATGTGTTCATTACTGTGATCAATATGTTAAATGTCAAATAGCGTATTTAGTCTATGTATTATTCATTCAGATGGATATGGAGTTACCATAAGTGTGGCAATTTGGGAATTACGCCCTTGTGACACCGGCATTAAATTGTTTATATTTGTGTAAGACTTTATGTATTCTACACGTTATAATCACATATAATGTAAGATAATGTAATTATATTTTGTATATTGTCAATAACAAAGTCAAGGAGTTTTCTCCCTTGGATCTATTTTCGGCGACAGATTATGGCCACAACAAACTGTTAGCATTACTGAACGTAATGCCATTGAAAACTGAGGGCCATGACTGTTGGTATGACACAATTTATACCTATATTTCAAAGAGGAAGATAAGCAATGAAGACGTAAGATATACTTATAATGTGAAATAATATTTATTTCTATATTACTTAGATTCGGATATATAAACACCAACCATGACAGCAGTTCCTGCGCTCTTTGTCAATCCTTGAAGTGCATTTCCCGCATTTGCGTTATATGAACAGTGTATGGTGTTTCACAGGACATCGATGAGCATCTATGTATTAGATAGACACCTCACTACCGACAATAATAGTGTCTGTGTCATGGCATATGAGAGATACAAACTGTTAGTGTTGGGAAATACAGTGGAAAGGGCTATTACATTTCATACATTATTCAATATGCAAATATTCGCATTTATAGCTAAAATGGATAGCATTATCATAAAAACACCCGCATGTTATCAGAAATGAGCGGGCCACTGTAACTTGATAATGCCCTCATATTACTTGACGACGGGCCATTATCACGCCCGTTGTTAGGTGACGTCATAGGATAGGGATAGGTGACGTAACGTTCAATAGTGACGTCATCTGGTTTGTTCTATGACGTTTCCATGTTTGTAAAAGTGGGTCAGCGACATTTGTGTTGATTGCAGTAAATTTTTCAAAATCGACATTGTTGTTTCTTTTTATTTGATAACAAATTCCATCCATTTTAGCTATAATAACGGTAACGCTATTTTTCAGGGCATTATCATTTGCAGGAGCCCTCGGTCTTTTCAACTGCCCTCCTTCGTCGGGCAGTTAATGGAAGACCTCGGGCTTCTGCAAATGGTAATGCCCTGAAAAATGGCGTTACCCTTATATTACTATATACAATATGTGAAGTGACTCTTGCTCTAGAACTTGTTTATTTACTAAGCTAACTTTAACATGATATTTAATACTAGCCGAGGCAAATTACACAAGGATGAAATATGCAAAATTATGTATATTCAGGATCGTAGTTACTGTCACAAATGATCTTTGTTGAAGAACAGTACCATTCCTTATTTCCTTACCTATGTTACTACCAATGCAGTTTGTCAGATCCGTGTTCGTGTCTCCTCGGAACAGATAGGGTTTATGGCAATATGCAACTGTCCCTGTTGGTGGTGCTAAAAAACTATGCCAACAAAAGTTTGACTTCGCGTGGAAGCTAACGGGTAACATACAAGTCATGTGACACTTGATCATTTGTACCACAAGTCAGTTGCTTTCAATCAGTGCATAAACTGTGATTATATGATACTGTTTTTTACAGAATATATGCAAACAAGGCCTTGCAATATAACTTCTCAATGAAAAGCCACACGACCCTCTACACGACCTCACCATGTAGGATGTTTCCCACAAGCTTCTCGATACTGATATTGCCAACGATGCCCCGGAAGAAGACTGTTTCTAGCGTCATGTTACTGACACCCTGTAACCTTGACAAAAGCATAAGTAGACGGCCGAATCTGACGACCTGTCTCGGGTAGTTGAGTTGGGCATGGTCCGACAACATGAGCTGGGCCTGATCTTGTAGCGCCTCCACCGACTTACTGTCCGTCAAAGCAGGGGCGTCTGGGAGAGGAAAAAAATCACATTCGTATTGCACAATATGAGCTACATAGTCAGAATATATGAAATATAACAAATATTTCTAACAACAATAACAATTCCAATACTGTTTCGCATTACTCCCTACAGAACAAAGGCGGTCGGGTAGCCTAGTGGTTAAAGCGTGCGCTCGTCACGCCGAAGACCCGGGTTCGATTCCCGACATGGGTACAATGTGTGAAGCCCATTTCTGGTGTCCCCCGCCGTGATATTGCTGGAATATTGCTAAAAGCGGCGTAAAACCATACTCACTCACTACAGAACAACAATTCATCTCAAATGAGAGAATATTATTCTGTCCTTAACATCGAAATGTACAGTATGTTGTTAAAACCATGAACCTATTCAGATCATCGATGAATGACCTCGTGAAATATTGAAGCATCTTTTCGCCACAAATACTACATCCTGTATGCCTTAATCAGATGGTTAATGCACAAGGTAGACCTTACCTGATTTGAACAGAGCGATGGCTTTAAGACACGTGAACTCAGTGGAGTCGAGATTCATCTCCCGAAACTTCCCAACTGTCTCATTTAGTCTATCCATCTCATTGTTCGTACATGGGTCTTCAGCCTCCAATCGGGGTCTACACACCATCTTGTTCACTGTATCCACCGGCAGTCCCCATTGTACAATTCCCAAAAGAAACAATTCCTTCCAGCAAGCTGTTAGCAACGATGTCTGAAAATAGATCCAGATCTTTTCATCTGCTCCCCTTCTGAAGACACTAGGCCACGAAGTACTTTAATCGTTAAGATATCTCATGCATGTTTCCTTCCACACATTGGCGAGAAACTACGCCATTAAACTATAAGTTTGCATGGTTATCCTTTGTACTTCTAAACAGTCAAATAAGCCATGTTCATTTTTTCATAATAAACGTAAAAACTAGCACGTTTTGTAGACATGGTTAGCTGTTGAAGAACAAAAGGACAAAACGTAGACAGAAGACCATCAAACGAAGTCTGGTTAGGTAAAATTCGACATGATCTCCAAATGAATACTGATTAATATAAAACGTCAATGTAAGAGAATAACTTAATTATCCGCCAAAACAGATTCCATTTGGCCTCAACGGCAAAATAGCTATGAAGATTACATGAATGGATCACTGAAAATCAGCGATGACGCCGGCCACACTTTTTCTAAGGTGAAGCATCAGAGATAAAGAATGCAATACATACATTTAACCCTGCCATCGTGGGACATAAATGGTTCACCAAGTCACGAAAATTGAAATCAAGTGTTTGATGCAAGTTATTGTAGGTGGCGCAACTGGCAGGGGCATGATTGAACTACAAGTGAAAAAACCCCAGTAGTCCACAGCAGCGAGTGGAGCTGTCCAGAATGGTGTTGTACTGGTATTAGAGTTATCTGCCTTTGTTGGGTGGATAAACATGACGGGTGTCTAGAACATTGATCGTTCTGGACAGTGACAATATTCTGAATCTTTCATGAGTGCAATAACATTGATTTTAGGGGCTTATACTTCTTACTGATAACACTTATTTGACCAATTGTTTTGCCTTGTTGATTGTAAACCTAAACATGTGTGATTACATTTAATTTATTAATTGTTTATTGAACATCTGTAGTCATTTACTGACTTCATAATTTTGTTCTGTGCAACCCGATTTCTGGGTTAACTTCTGCATTTTATTTTGAACATCACCTCATGACAGAAATTGGGGTCATGTCCAGGATCTGACTTAAGTTTGCTGAAAGTTTAATATTTGTAAAGAAAATTCTTCAGTGCTATATGTGCCAGTGATCACTTAAACCGACTAACTTTCTGGTTACCTTAAGCCAAGTATTACATATTACAGCAGAGAAATCAAGAAACTTTTTGATGAACATTTAATTAGGAAGGAAGGAAATCAGAAAATTTTAAACTGAAGCAGCTTGGCATGGAATTGAAATTGTAAGAATAGGAATTTAAAAAGGAAAAATAAAGTGAGTAGAGAGAATTTCAAAACTAAAGAGAAAGATAAGAGAGTTAATTCAGATTGAGGCATCCAACAGGGCATCCAGATGTGTCTTCTTCTAATTACGATGTGATATTAAAGGGTATTGAGGTAATTACTAGTGCGCCTCTCCATTTTGTTGATCTGAAGTCAGGTATGGGGTCGGGTTTGGTGAACGTGGGTGTCAAGAAACCCCCAGGCGCTGACTTGCTAGTTGGTAATGATATGGCAGGGTCAAAAGTGTTGCCTGATCCATGTATTAGCACTGAACCAAGAACTTGAGAGAACTCTTAATCATTTCAGGGAGATATTCCAGCCAGAACATAAGATACATGCTATCTGCATAACTGGCACCACTGAGTTGTGTACTGATAAAGTTGTCTCCCCTGAGCTTGATGGCTGACATAATGTAGCTTTGTGCAGAGAACTGACAATTCAATTCAATTGTTATTGACAAGTTTGAGTGCTAACAATTTTCAAGGACGACTCTAAGTAGTTGGAATGATAAAACGAAAGCACAGTTATGCTGTAATGACAGCATTAAGAGCTCTGAAATAGATGAACTATTGATAGTCACAAGTGCATGCCTTTTATGCCCGATCTTTGGTTTTGAGTTGATGGTTTGTTTACCTTGTGGTGACAGGAGACCACTGACACCGCGGCGCTCTTTGATATATATATATATATATATATATATATATATATATATATATATATATATATATATATATATATACTCACACGCAAAAGAAACGCAAGTCGAGTATGCAGTATACAAGTTATTTATTTTCAACAGTAAAGACAAGACATACTAATAGGGCAAGATTGACAACAAATTGACTGAAGACAGTTGAATGGCAGATGACATAATTGTTTTTTTCAAATGTTAAGGTCTTACACAGTTTCGGGTCAATACCCATATGTCAGTCAATACCTTGTGTGACCACCATTAGCATTGATCACTGCCACACATCTCCTGTACATTGAGTGGATCAGACGATTTGTGATGGCCCTAGGGATCCTCCTGCACACATCCAGAGCAGCTGTGCGTAGTTCATCGGCAGTTGTAGGGACTGGGCGCACATTGTGCAGACGCTATTAAACCTCATCCCACAAGTGTTCGATGGGGTTCAGATCAGGGCTGAGGGCTGGCCACGGTAGAACACGGGTGTTGTGTTGTTGCAGAAAGGCCATGGTAGCTCTGGCAACATGGAGACGAGCGTTGTCCTGCTGGAAAATGTGTTGTTGATGTTGTGCAAAAAATGGAACAACGTGTGGTCTGATCACTTGGTCGATATGCCGCTGAGCAGTGACACCGTGTCCCCGACCTTGACCAACATTCAGAAAGCACATGGGTCCAAGTCTTGCATAAAGTCCAATCCCTGCCTATATCATGACGCAAGGTCCACCCCATGGATCCCTTTCCACAACGTTTCTGTCAGCGAAACGATCACCTCGACGCCGCCAAATTCTGACTCTTCCGTCTGCATGGGAGACACAAAAGCGACTTTCATCAGAGAAGATGACACACCTCCACTCACGATGACGCCAACAGTGATGACCCTGTGCCCACTGAAGTCGTGCTTGTCGATGCCGTGGTTGGAGAACAGGACGACGTGCTGGTCGGCGACATCTGTGGTTGTTGGAATGGAGACGTCGGATCACAGTGTCCCGGCTAATGTGTCGATTATGTGTTCCTATGGTCTGTCGAGCACTTTCACTTGCAGTTAGGAACTGATGTCGCTGGTGTTGACGGGTTATCTGCCGATCTTTAACATAACTATTTCTTCCTTTGAACAAATGCTATAATCGTATGGTTTTGAACTTGACGAAATCGTACTTTTTTAGAATAAGTATTAAAATTTAGATGATGCATTAAAACTGTATCCACACAGTTTAAACGAATGTGTTTCATGGTAAACTGGCTTCGACAAGGAATACACATGGCAACATCTTAAATATAAAAGGAAAGCATGGATGAAAGTGTGAATGTCCTATACGCCATCGGACCTCCTCCGTGGTCTAGTGGTAGAGCGTCCGCCTGGAGAGCCGAAGGTCGTGGGCTCGATTCCCGGCCGCGTCACAACAAAATACGTTAAAAGTTGGTACTTGTTATTACCCTGCCTTGCGCTCGGCATTAAGGGGCTAAAACAAGGACTGGTCGGCTCAGGGTCAGTATACTGTGTCTGATTGGGGTACTCATGTTAAACTGCGGCATGGCATCTTAGTGGGCTAGCACTATAAAATCGGCAATAGTTCAGATGGGTACAAGTATACACTAAGACACGCAGGCATGAACGTCGCTATTCAAGTGCAATAATCTTGCAATTGGATGCGAAGATAAAACACCATTTTACTTCATGATAATGATCGGCTGCAGCTTGTTAGTGGTTTGTTGATTCCAATTTGACTGCCGGTGTCACGAAATATATTCGCCCCCAGAATAAAATCCACCCCCCGGCGAATTTATACCGGTACAGTTCCGCCCCTCTCGAAATAAACTCTCCCCCACCCTACGAAATAAAATCTCCCCCCAGAATAATTCCTCCCCCGGTAAAGGTTTATTAGGGATGCCCAAAACGTTAATTAATGAAAGACGAGTAGTCAAAACACTGTCATTTCCTGCCCAGGACATCACACTCCTACACGCTAAGGTCGGTGAGAAACATTCTCATCAAACAAAACACACAGTCAAGACTGTAGATTCCCGTCGTCTAGCTACAAATCCTGTGATGTATTAAAGGTTGAAGAATTTTGAACTGAACTGAAAATTTTGGAATTGGATACAGTGATAAAGTCTTATATCAATATGTAGACTCATAAATATTGGTTTTATGTTTTAACGGAGATATGATATTTTCTTATGAAATATCGCGTATTTGTGTAATTTGCATGCTTTACCATTCATTGTACCATTCTAAACCATGTGAATGTTGTAATATCAGTCAATCGGGTGGGAAAACAGCCAAATCCTCGCTGTATAAAAGAATATGTCAATCCTTTTGCAAGTTGAAAAGACCTCTGATACTTTATGGATACTTTATGACAGTTTATGGAGTCAAAATCAAGGCTGATTATTCGTGAACTTAATGCTTCGTACTATAGGCCTGTGGCCTCTTCAGTGCTGAATAAAGATTGAAAATACATCAGTCAATCAAAGATGATGGTAACTTTATACATCAGAGTTCTTGAGAATTAGTTCATGTTTTGTTCTTAGACTAACATTTCAACCATCGATTGTGTTCACATGTAGACTCAAACTGGTATATTAAAAAAATGTATACAGACAACAACAACTGTATTAGAAACAACAAACTCTGTAGAGACTCTTGTCTCCGATCCTTTGTTTGGTATGATTATGTCTTATAATTATTTTAGGATGGAAGGTACAGTTACCAAATAAAATATGCTGAAATATCAATTCATTATGACCATATTTCATAATCTATTTTTTTTAAAGTAACCCTCCTTACATTAGAGATAACTATAAAAAGAATATAGTACTTAAAGACATTGCAACAAACCGAATAATCAGGGGGGAGACTTTATACTGAGGGGGGCGCGAGTTTTTATTTCAGAACAGATTCTCCGGGGGAGAATCTGTACCGGTATAAAAACATCGGGGGGAGAATTTGTACCGGGGAGAGTTTATAACGGGACACCGGCATTAATTACATATTGCCGAACAATAGTCTAAAAGTGCTAAGTGTTTGGTACTCTATGCTCAATAGCCCTTTCATCCAAGACGATGTGACGAAAATGCAGAAATCGAATTGTCACCATTATTTGATCCCAAATTGCAAATGGCAAACAACATAAACCTTGCACAGGCACATATTTCCCAGCTGTCGTGTGGAATAGTTTGAAAAATATAATTTGTTTCAGAAAACAGTGAAAAAAGTCGAATTTGGCCTCAGGTGCTTCCTATTCCATTCGAGCCATGTGTATAGCTGGATGGGTGAGCCAGTTTGACACTATTACCTCCTGAAGGTTCCCGTGGATTTGGTCGAGCCCCACACTGAAACACATGTTACCTGTGGTGTCTCCTCGGGCAAAGTGACCTTGTTCGAAATATTTCTCTGTTCACCCAGCAGTGAATGTGTGAACGCCTCATGAAACAATTTGGGTCTGGCATTGAGAAATTGCATCAGTGGCATATCAGAAATGACCATTATTATGTTTTATTATCATTTAGAAATAAACAATTGTATGTCTAAAACCAGTGACCGAGATGATATTCTGTCTGTTACCGAGACACACAGCGATGAAAACTGAAGCAATCTTGGGAAAGTAGCCCTAATGCTATCATACATGCTGAAAGACTTTGTACTATTCGTAGAGGGATGCAGAGAGATGTTACGATGTCGTGGTCTATTAGAGTTAGGGCGAAAGCTCACCTGGTCATTGTCGGAGAGTACGAGAAAAGCTGGAATCTGTTTGACCCAGCTGATTATGGTGAAAAGAAGTCGTGCCATAACCTCCTGCCATACATCATGTTGTAAGGTCATCATTGATGTCATCAGCGGAGGTGATGTGAACGCTGAAGGGGCGTGTAAGCGCATCATTTCGGGCGGAAGTTCACCAGCGTATCCCATTACAACCATGGGGTGGTCAGGTCGGATACGGAACTTATGGAATGAGTCCACATCAAACTTGACGGCCGCAGACGCGTTCGTATTTGAGAGACTCAGATCTATAGGCCGGTCTTGAGAATGACTGTGGAGGGATACACACATTTCCGGGGACTTCATCTTGGGTTTCCTCGGGCCACGTTCATGCTGGACCGCTGTCCAAAACAACATACCTTCACTTCAGTATAATGGCTGTTACTAAATATGTGTAAAGATAAGCAAATACCTTAAATTACTAAATTACTGTTCTATATATGTGTTACGGATGATTTGTTCACAAAAGACACTAGTTACATGATATAGGTAATGGATGATTTCATCCTACCGTCTTTGTTCATGTCTGAATCAAAACACTTGTTTAGCCTGCATGCTCTGCACTGGTTGCGGTGTGTCTTGTCTATGGGGCACAGGCCCTTCATCTCGCCCTGTGCCTTGCAGGTGTACACGCGGTTCTTGTGTATACTGCGTTTGAAGAAACCGGAGCAGCCTGCAATAGTTCAAAGCTCAAAATGGCTGATACGCATGTGAGGCTTGTTCATCATCTATGTAGCATATGTACAGGACAGTATTCGACACGCATTATTGTTCTGAATGCATAGACACGGTACTGTAGCATTTAGATTTTGTAGTTCTTATCAAACCTTTACATAAATTTTGCAGATATTTAACAATAAAACAACATACATTTTTCAATGTTGATCAACTGATGTACCATGTAAATATGCATACCGTCACAGCTGTAGATGCCGTAGTGTTTGCCGGAGCTGCGGTCGCCACACACACGACATGGGATGTCGAGCAATCGGTCGCCTTGGACAAAGGAAACATACTAAAATCACATGATACATTTTCGAACACAGAAAATAGACTCTCGAGACACAAAAGGGTACAATATGAGACCATTATAGAAATTCTATAACAAGCTAAAGATTGTGCAAGCGATATGTATTCAAGAGAGAGTTGTTTTAACATGATAGGAACCAGATGCCACTCCATCACAGCAGATTCTTTTAATGAACAGTCACATACAGACACATGAGGCAACAGGTGTAACATATCACTTTCAAAACACCTGTCCAACAAGGGTATACCAAGACACCAAACACCAGATAAACAACAAGTATGGCCATCTCGCGCATCTTGCAAGCCAAAACACGCCGCCGCACCGATGACGTCAAACGTCGCGTGACGTTAGCAAGAATATTTTTCTGTTCGTCCAGAAGAGACTGTTTCCCTGGCCGTTGATTGATGGTTCTGTTATTGCAGAAATGACAGCATCAAGGGACGCAAAACTTCATGTTGGTACCTCTGTGCATTCAGGTTGCCGTTAATGATGACACGCCTTGTTTTCAAGTCCCTCCTCCACAGACCACGACGCCACCTCTCCATACGGTTGGACTCGCTTGACATCGGCAAGTGCCTGGTCCATCGCATTCTCTTATGTCGGTGTTGACACATTAACGTCACGCAAGGGTAGGGTCGTCGTGCTCTGATTCCATGTTTACTTATGTCAAGATCACAAGGTGTTTATATAATTATGTTAAAGTCACAAGTTTTAGTGTGAGATGAGCTTGGTGTATGGTCTTGTTATGTGGTAAGCTGAGTTCTTAGTGATTGTCTATGGATTCATTGGATTACGTAAGCGGGCAGAGTTATGTTTTTAGGCAAAGGTTGAGATTTCAGAGCAAGCTATATCAGCTTGTTGCCACATATATATAACTGAGAAATGGGACAGTCAGTGCAGATTCACGGCTAAGCTCCTTGGGGTATGGAATTTCAGTGTGGGGTTGTCTGGACTGTGACTTTCGTGTCGTTAGCGTGAGTATTTATGTACCGTATTTATGTATAGCACCATGTATACTGACTATGTCTAGGTCATCAAACTATATGCTGTTGTTGTTTAACGCCGCGCTCACCAATACTACAGCTATATGACGCTGGTCTGTAAATAGTCGAGTCTGGACAAGACAATCCAGTGAAAGACATCATGAGCATCGATCCACGCAATTGGGATATGATGACATGCATCAACCAAGTCAGCGAGCCTGACCACCCAATCCCAATTTTAACGCTGATCTTCACGGGGTCAAAGTGTATTCAATGTTTTGGATTTTTATTATTGAGTAACATCTAACATATTGTAAGATTGTTATAAGGACAATGGAGCTCTCAGTTATTAAGTGTCTGGGCCGGGAGTGATCCCCAGTCAATTGGCCATGGAAGGACAGTGAAAGAGCCAGGAAGAAGCTGCAGATACTGGATCCTGGCTTGTGTGTTTGTCCCAGTACGGTATCCCCGTCAGTCATCGATGTTATGGGCCAAGTGTGTTTCCTGTCCATAACTGACTGTGAACCTGAACTGAACTATCAGACTCTTATTTGCGTGTATGCTATGTCTATCGGATGTATTGGATAACGACAGGTTGTATGTACTTTTTGTTGTGATGTATAGTATTTGATGTGACATGTGTTTGATAGTCGTGTATTGAGAGGGGTGAGTTAGTTGGTATTGTACATAGTCAGGGTGAGGTGTGAAGGTCTCTTCATTACACGTTGAGTGAGTAAGAGTGAAGTATGATACAGGTGAGTGATTGGTATGAAATCAAGGGCATGTGTGTGTGTGAGGGTAACTTGTAAATGTATCTGGGGAATACACTTCTGTCTGTCTAAAGATACGATATCCATGTGCCGTTGCCGTTGTGGGAAGGAAGCGGTTGCGAAGATGAAGAACTCGCGAGTGCCGGTCTTCTATGGGCGTGGTCAAACGTGCTCTTCCACTCCTTGGGCTGTTAATGATCGTCCCTGTCTGCTGATGACGCCGCATTCGCCTCACAATACGGGCACAACCGAACGTTCTGGCAATGCGGTCTTACGTTGCCCTCGGCTGTACCATGGCATAGGTCTGTGTACTGTCGGTTTCTGTGTTCTTAACGTTGGGTTTCAGCAGGTTTTGACAGCGGTTTTGCACGTGCATTTCGTTCTATGGGCGTAGTTTTCGTAGTCGGTTTTCATGTCATGCACTATTTCTTATGAAACTTACCACACTTACCGGTTTTCGTCATCAGACACATTTGGATGTGTTTGGGGATATGTTTCACCACCATTTCACTTCCATTATACAAATTATAATACATTTTGAATAAAATGTCCTTTGTATCGTTTCTTTGGTCGTCAGTTTATCATCAAATATTTAAAAAAAAATCTGATGGAATACGGCCTGTATTTTTTCATAAACTATGTGTATTCTATTCATTATGTCTGTGTGGGAAAAACTATACCCCTTTCGGTGGAAATTAGTTCATGTCATGCATTTGTACAAATAGCTTGATTATGACAAAATCGTTAATTAGTTGTGTTTGAAAAAATGTTTGAACAATTAGTTTTGAGGCAATAATCTAATAATTTTCATGAAATAGTTTCTTTTTAAAAGTATCAATCTTGTTTCAGACCAGGATATTCTGCGGTCAATCAGTAATTAGAATCATATCAAATTGTATGTGTAGCCCTAGACTCAAGCCTTATAGGTATATGGCATTCTGTGATGTTTTAAAGGCATTCAGTAGATTGTGGTATAAGGGTTCTCATTTACAAATGGATAGAATATTGTGTTAAAGGTGATATGTTTTAATCGGTAAAACGTTGCAGAAGTAAAAGAAAACAAAGAGTATTCTCAAATGACTCTGTCGGATGGAATCAATTTAACGACGGACTGCAAACCTTAATATAAGGACAGTTTTTGTACGTTGTGCATGTACAGAATATTGCATCATCAGTGTCTAAATAGGGCTTTATGCTAATGTCATTGTGCATCAAAACAGCTTAAAGATTTAGAAGACAAAACAATACCGATCTACAAATTGTCAATAAATCGACCAAAGACTTACTTGTAACATCCAACCAAAGGAAAACGGAAATAATACTTTTCCGATTTAAGAGCAACATTGATGACCTGTTACAACTGTTTGGAAATCCCTAGTTTCACTAATCGTCAACCCATCAGCACTTAGGATTAAACATTCACCGACAACTGTAGACAGACGGCTCACATAAATAACATAGACAGACCGTTACCATCACGGCGCAAATTCAAATTCATTTTAGACAGACGGAAACCCAATTTATCTACACCCTATTCATGAGACCCCACTTGACAGAAAAACTTAGTGTCAAATTGGACAGTCATGTTTGGAACAAAGAGTATTACCACACCAAATGCACAACTCGTCCAGTTCGTTCAATCATCATACCATAAACGTCCAGTGCCAATAAGATCAACCCCTATAACATAGACATTACGTTTACAAATGATCACATTTAATAAGGAAAATTGGAATGAACGTTACCACACCAGATTAAGAAATTCAGGACTTCGATCTATTGAGCATACATGTAAAAAAAAATGCTCTCTGTCTTTGCGGCGGATTTTGCGAGAATTCCTATCATTACCGATTAGAATGTCCACAAATTAGATAAATACGGAAGAAAATGTTAAATAACATTCAACGTTTCAAAGACTGCATAAGTTAACAAAAATGGATTATGTCCATCACCTGACACAGCAGCTGTCAGACGTTAAAATATGCACCACTTGTTAATTGAACACAAAAGTAATTCTTTTCACTGAAATGCACTGTCATTTATACATCAGCACTGCAATCATTGTTTTCAATATCAGTGTAAGGAGAAGGTCCAATAAGTCAACCGTGTGTCTTGGTCCTCCCATACCAAATATTCTCTTGAATAAACTATGTTGCAATTCAAAGGATATGATAGGATTCTTATAATCGTTACATTCTCAACAAAAAGCAAACATGACAAATACATACCTTAAAGATACATATTATAATAAATACATATTGTAGTAGCTGGTGCTGAACTTCTGTTAGTTTTTCAAACAGAAATATTAGTTCAGAAGGTTGATACTAAGTGGAATATATCAAGGATTGGCGGGATATTTTCGACACTCGCAGTCGGCGTGCTGAAGGAAAACATTCATAACAGTAATCAATATGACTGATGCACATCAATTTACGGGTTTTTTGTAATGATTTGGTGGACATGGTGGTGGCCGAGATAAGATCGATTACCAGTTTGTTCGTTTGCATAACTGACATTTTTATATTCAAGTTATGTTTTGAAAATATAGATTTCAGTACCAAAGGTTGAAGGTTATAATGCTATGTGTGAAAATCTAATAATACAATTTTAGATAACCACAATGAAGTCTGTTAGTTTATAATCAATGTTAATGCCCAAGCATTTCGTTAACAATTTCAATTTCTTCCTTATCCGATCAGATAATCCGATGCTATTTTTTAATAATGAAAATCAGTATCACTAGTTCTTATAAGTTCATTTCACCATACGACTTGCAATCTGATTTCTCTAATTCTGAGCCCCTTAAAGGACCAGGATAGGTGTGCAAAAAGAAATGACCAGCTCCATTAACAAGAACAATATGTGACCTGTTGACAAGAAACAAGCCTAACCATATAATGACATTCAAGTTGACTCCCATATTATTACTGAGGATCAAGCTTAGCGGGCCCTGCATGGCTGACTGCCAAACGCAAGGTAGGAAACAGATGACAGTAACATCATGGTGCTGCAATTTGTGTAACAATAAACGTGAAAGGCGTTAACCTAAGAACGATATGTAACCTCATAGTTGTTTCATTCTCACCAAAACTAATATTAATACACACACTTGTGACACATGAAAAACGACATCGATTATGAAGCAGGGTATTATAAAAAGTAACGCTATAAAAGCAAATAATAAAAATTAATGCCATGGCAAGAAAATGAAAG